ATTATTTCGTTACTTTTTAGTGTACTGTTTTTTTGAGAATATTTTGTTTTGTTTTTAGTGCATTTTGTTTTGTTTTTAGTGTATTTTGTTACCATATTTTTTTAATTTCTAGCCGGCGAAGTCGCGAACAGCTAGTCATTTACAAAATAGACATTTAGACCCTTTTAACTCTCATTTAGGGAGGCTAAACATGAAGGATAACAAACATCTGCTCCTACACCCTATTGTTTTCTCATGTAATTTATATCCCTCATTTTAAAAGCATATGGGCTCAAACACATGGACAGCCCGAAATAAAAATGAAATTATTTTATTTTTAAAGTACCTAATTAAACTCCGAAATTAAAACTAGTAAAGATTACATTAAAATTAATCTGTACTGTTATATTCAAGATATTTAAAAAATAAAAAAGTGCACCGAAGTTCACATAAGAAACAAAAATACGTAATACGTATAGCGCCATCTGCTGACAATAAAAATAAACTAATTAAAAAAAACTTGTAATGTCGGTCAAGACAGCAATGAGTTATATTCTCACTAGAGTATATATGAATTTACATAATAACATAAATAAGAAAGAGGAAGTACTAAAACTATTGTATGTCATATTATACGCATGATACAATACAGAAAATGAAGCGACAATGAAAAAAACTATTTTGTAAAAGATTCATGCGTGTAATTTACCATGAATATACCTTATATATAAGACGGTTCATATTTCATTCATTTAAAAAAAAATGTGCTAAGATGTTGAAATCGAAGTTAATAATTGGATTGGTTGTTTCAATTTTGGTGAGTTATTTTTAATTTACTAATTCAGTATTGAATTGCTACGTATCTCTTCGTTATTCTTATTTTTAAAGTGTCATCTTTTAGGACATTAGGGCAACTTGCATTCTTGACATCGGGGCTATGAAAATTCTTTCTAATCTTTGACCTGTCTAAAAATATTGCAAGTATATAACTAGCTTTCCAAATTATTCAATTGAACATAAATAATTATCATCTACATTAATATTATAAAGAGGAAAGATTTGTATTTTTGTATGTATTGAAATAACTCAAAACCACTGGGCCGATTTCAAAATTTCTTATACCACTTAAAAGCTACGTTATCAGTGAGTAACATAGGCTACAATTTTATTATTTTTTGAATTTCACGCGGGCAGAGTCGCGACGAACACCTAGTTATCTATAAATATAGAAATAAATCTTTCAACGTCGTCCGTCTAATAAATACTTCTCTTTGCAGGTATTGTTACTCGTTTCAGAAAATGAAGGTAAGAACCGAATTTAAATTAAATAAACTAGTTAACTATCGGATTTTGGATGAACAAAGGAGCTATTCAGTCTTATATCTGCCGCTAATCTATAAAAGTCTAGCCGATCATTTGATGCAAATAAATTAAGCGCCTATTGTAATATAATACTAAAAAATCGAATTTGTTTTTTTCTTACTAATATTATAAATGTGAAAGTTTAGATGGATGGATAGATGGATGTTTGTTAGAGTTTGTAGTCTAAAGGGCTCAACGGATTTCGATGAAATTTTGCATAGATGTAGAGGATAGTCTGGAAGAACACATAGACTATTCACTTTTGTTTTTTTTTTTTCATTCCACGCGGACGGAGTCGCGGGCGAAAGCTAGTTAACTTATAAATCCTTCTTTAAGTGCATTTTTTATATTTTCTATATTTCTTCAGTTACTGAAATGTTTGCTTTCAGTTGACGCAGCGCCGGAGCCATGTGGAGATTTCTTCAGGATATTGAAACGTAAGCCAAAAGATGATGAGAAAATTAAAGAGGAAGAAAAGAAGAGGAAAGAAAGGAAAAAGAAGGAGAAATTAAAACTTATTGAGAAATGTGAGTATTGTTCTATTGAATATTTTCTATGTTTCAATGTTTGTCAGAGTAGTTTTACTATTTCAGACATGAAAAGAACAAATTATATTAACTAATTTATTATTTTGTTTTAGTTTTCGAGGATTTATGTAAGTATTTTTAGTTGTATTATATCAGGACACCTATAATTTTGACAAAGTATACAATTTATCTGTTGACTAGTAACATTTACAGTTAAAGTACCATTTTTGCAGTTTTTTCGCAATAAAATCGAATGTGACCACATGGAAAAAATCATTAGATTATTTAACGTTGATTTTAATTGATTCCCGGTCAGTACTGCCTTGGGGTCCCAGTTGGCGAACCAGAGAAGTTGAAAACACAAACCCACTGGATGCAACAACCGGAAACTATGTTAAATTCCTTTCAAATATGTTCATGTATTAAATCACAAACGAAAGTCAAATTTAATACTAATAAAAGATTATACACCTTTACTTTTTAATTTAATGTCTCCTAAATCTTAGTAATATTATAAATGTGAAAGTTTGGATGGATGGATGTTTGTTAGTTTTAGCCTCAACTGCTCAAAAGATATCGATGAAATTTGGCAAAGGTAAAAAAAAGAACACAGGCTACTTAGTTTTTTTTAATCCACGCGGGCGGAGTAGCGGGCGAAAGCTAGTACCTTAATTTTTTATTATAAAATCCTTTTTAATTCTTGTCTGTTTATCGTAGTACGTAATAAGTAAATAAAACAACAAATAAAATTGGTATTAACTTTAATCAGACTCATTTCACAACGTAAACTGAGAACTCATTACAAACGTTCATTGTACAACAGAGTTTGAAGTCTATGTTGTACAACAAACACAGACATACAGACACACAGACACGACACACGGTGTCGCAACAAAACATACAAGAGCGCGATTCCTTTATATACATACAAACACACATCTGTCATTACTTAAAACATTAAGCCAAGGAATATTGCATGATATCACAATTAGGGTTGCAATGAAATATCGATATTTAATCAATATAAGCCGATACAATCGATAACTCACACGACTATTCTTAAATTTTTACAACTTAAATTGTTTGCTAAGGAAAAATTATTTTTTATCAAACAGTAAAATATACATAATTAAAATAAAACCATAAACCTTTGCGGGTTTATCTAGTTTTTCTTACAAGTAAAAATGGCAGTATCGATATCGACAAATATCGATATAGTGCATCCCTAATGGCAAAACCCAACCCCGGGTGTTTAAAAGTAAGTGACGACGTATAACTGATAATTCGAGTGTTCCACAATGCCGTGTACATAAATAATGGATATAATAAAACACACAAAATGGCGGCTGTTGCTATCGGCCGGCGCACTCCGTACCAGCGGTACATATTGTCTATAACACTACTTCACTAGTTTACAGCTCGTCGTGCTCATCCTGGGGACAAATAAAATACAATATTAAATTCAACTAATCTAACTGAAAACTAGGTTTCAAAGATATTAAACAAGAAATTCTATTAAATTTAAATATTACAGAAATTTAATTAATAATTAAACCAAAAACTAAAATGGTAACATCACTATTTTGCAAACTATGATTCAAATACGAATAAAAAAATATATTTACAAAAAAAAACTGTAATGCAAGCATCAAAGTATACTTACAACAGGCGCCGCTTCTCCGGCTTCCTCATCGAGATCCTCATCATCCTCCTCCTCATCAGGCTTCTCCGCCTTCTCCTTCTCCCTCTCGGCTTCATCCTGTTCATTCTTCATCTTCTTCTCCCCTTCTAGAGTCTTCTTGAGTGCTTCCCCGCGCTCCTTGGCCGCCTCCAGGTCATCAGTGATGAGGAAGTTGTCGAAGATGGTACCAGACTTGACCTGCCAGAGATCGAGACCGACGGCGCAAAGTTCCTCCCTCTTGTACAGTGTGTTGTCGGCCGTGTATTCAGGGTTGTCGATCTCGGGGTGCACCCACGCGCCCTTGTATGCAGGGTTATCGATCTACAAAAGTAATTTATTTATTAAAAAAATGCAAATTAAGAAATATGTATAGCTTTAAAAAAAAAGGTAAATTTCAAATACTAAATTCTATGTAGACGATTTCCAAATCACGAACTCGACTAACCGTTAAAAGGTAAATGAACTTTGAATAACTTATTACCACTCTTACGAAACTGTATGCTTAAAAATTTGCATCTTGTCACAGACTAAAAGAGATCTTATGCAAACAACATAAGGTGCATATTCAAATGTCGATAACCTATTAGTCATGTGACAGAAATGAGTCAGTGCTCTCTTGTGTTTAAAATAAAAGTACAATTTGGTTCGAAGTTTATACTCTTTGAAATTCACCAAAAGAAATGTTGAAGAATTGAAAATAATACGCAACAAAACTGTTTAATATTTATCTTAAAAGCTATAAATAATTATTAAGATGACCTTCCTTTCGACCATAGAATTACGTACCCACCTAAAATTGTACAAAAAGGTACATGTTCTAACATTTAAACATATATCCAACTGTTTGCCTCACTACTGAAGTACAGTCAGGACCCTTTGCAATGTTCCACTCAATGAAAAAAGTTCTTGTATCAAAACAAACTCTGACTTTATTCACATGGACTCGCACAGTAGATTGCGCAAACAACAGAATAAAAAGCAATTAGCCGTGTACTGACAGACTTATTTTCGTATACATAATTAAAAGCTGCGTCTTATTACTGTTACGCATCGTCTTAATGCACATAAATCTCTGTTAATACAAGAAACAAAGCAAATCTCTGTAAGAACTCTGCGAATTGCCACAACTGTGCCTACATAGTACATGCTGTGCTGATCATTTATAGGACAAAGGTCTATATACCTGCTTGGGGGCCCACACGCCCTTGTAGTCAGGGTTGTCAATCATGGGGGGCTCCCACTCGCCGTCCATCTCATCATCCCAGTCATCAGGCTTGCTGGCGTCAGGGTCAGGGATGTGCTCAGGCTTGTCCCAGTCCTCGGGCTTCTTGTCTTCAGGGTCGGGGATGGTAGGTTTGTCATCCCAGTCTTCAGGTTTCTTTGCTTCGGGGTCCTAAAGGAAATAACCATTAAAATAATTTTTACAATTCAACAGCTGTAGTTTTTGAAGTGAACATTTTAATATTTGCACAATTATAGCTGACTAGAAGTGAAACTTACCTTGATCTTTTTAGGCGGTAGGAAGTCCCAGTCAGCCTCCAGGTCTCCAGATTCCACCTTCTCATTGTCAATGAGCACTTCATATGTGTTGTCAGGTTTCACAACCAGCGTGTACAAGTGAGTGTAGACATCGTCCTTGCAGCGGATGTCTTTCTTGATAAGATGGTTCTTGCCCTTGTAGCTGAAGATTACATGCACCTGGGGACAAATGGATTTTTTAAAATAAAATACTGGTTTTCGCCCGCGACTCCATCTGCGTGGATTAAAAAAACAAAAGCGAGTAGCCTATGTGTACTTCCAGACTATCCTCTACATTTATATCAAATTTCATAGAAATATGTTCAGCTATTTAAGCTACAAACTAAAAAACAACTATCCATCCATCCATATAAACTTTCGCATTTTCAATATTATAAAATAGTTTTCAACTATAGTGTAACAAGGAATATAAAAGTCCTGTTTTGATTCAATTGGCTTGTTTATAATATGTGTAAAATTGATTCAATTTTCTGCAAAATAATGAGGGTTTTGATATTTCTGGCAAGGCTATAACTATTTATTTAGTTATCATTTATTAGTGGATTGTTTTAAAAGGTATTATAAAATGTCATAAGATTCATATTCTTGTCGCATTATTTTTACTTTTACATCAACTACTTATTTAATTCTTGAACAATTAACTATTCATTTATGGCCTTGGAATAAATAAAATAGTCATATTTTACTTCAACGATAACCCTTCAACATAAAAACTATGAAATTATCAGACAGTAAAGATTTACATAGATCAAAAACACACAGAGTTCAAGAACAAAAAAAAATGTTTACTTGGTATTAAGCATAATTCACTTACATTTAAACTTAATAAATATTTTATAATCCTCAAAAATTGTAAACGTTAAAATTTAGTGGTAATCCCACTTTGAATTCTGATAAGAATTATCAGAACAAGTTACATGAAAAAAAATTCCAGTAATAAATTGATAAAGATATAACTTGTTTGCAAAATGCTTATATTCCTTGTAATTTGCAAATTATTTAATTAGCAATAAGTCCTTACAATGAAACTATTATAAAAATACCTAAAGTGCTGCAATTAAGTAATGAATGCAAGGAAATTATTACTTATTACTTAATAATCCTGTTTAATTGAATTCACTTTCATACATCACCTTGCATCACTTTATATTTCAGACTGATGATAAAACAACCAAACCATCCACTAAACAGAACCCTGTATAAAAACATATCTCTTTCAAAGAAAATAAGAGTGTAACAATACAATGTTTTGAGAGCAGATTCACACGTACATTGTTAAAATCTTTGTAACTCACCTTCTTTGTACCAGGACCGCAGATGTCAGGACCAAACATAATTTCATAGGGAGTTTCACCATGCATGTCTTTCTGGTTCAACTTGCAATCAAACACCTTGAGGTAACCGCCTCCACAGTCAATGTCCTGCTCATGCTTCACAGAGAACTGCACCACCAGAGGCTTGTCCTCGTTGGAGAATGGCTTGAACTTGCGCGACAGAGCGTAGAACCTCGCATCTTCAGAGGTCTGCAGACCTGGAGATTATGGTCATTGTAGTTAAGATAAGAAATAGATTTGTTAATGTGCAAAACAAATGTAGGAGTACGATTAAACGTTCGGAAATAAATTAACGATACTCGTGTCAAGTCAATTTAGAAAGGAAACCCACGTACCTTTGTCTTCCTCGGGGTCATTGTAGAATTTCCCAGCGGTCAACTTAAATTTGCCGAACTCCTTGCCGGGGTGCTCGCTGTACACCCAATTGGATTCCCATGAATCTGCAATGATAGAATCACTCAGATTCCATAATGACTACCGGCGTCCTAGATCAATAGCACACGCGGCGTGCCGGCACTCTTTACCAAATATTCTCTATATTGATAAACCTTACCATCGGGGAATTTCTCTTCAAAATACACTTCACAATTAACAGAATAAATTGCCAGTAAACTGACTAAAGCTAACGCTAAAGCCCTCATTTTGTTTAACACAATCAGCCTCTTTCGTCAATGGATCCGCCACGAATAACTTCGAATTTTGGCGAGTTCCCTGTTATTTAATTTCTACCGGTTCGTTGCGTTGCCTGTTTGTTATCTCAGTCACACTCGTCAAAACCAAAGTGGTGCGAAAGAGAAAGATCAAAACATACGTGTCTCTAGGAAATTGACGACAGAGAGCGAACGAAATGAGTTTACGTAAAAACCAATAAGAGTAAAGGAGACATGAGATTTTGTTCTTTGGCGTATGACGTCGAATTACGCAGACAGATGGAAAGCTGCCATTGGTCGTACGATAGCAAATAGAAATTGAACACACTGTTCGAATCGAATAACGTAGTTACGCGGGAAAATACAAAATATTTTATTTTCTTTCCGAAAAAAAAACGTAATTTTTGTTAAAGCGAACATACATTTTTTATTCTACTTTTGTGTACGATTTTTATGACAAATCGGATAAAAAAAACAGGATGAGTATTCTAAATATTAAAATCAGTACTGTGATCTAGAAAGTTCACCTTGATGTATTATAGTCGTCCAATCAGCGTTTCACATGACATAAGAGCGTGATGGATATATGTAAGTTATTGAAGTTAGAGTGAAAAAGTTGCAACATATCTACGTGTTTTTTTCACATTGATTTCGTAGATCAAAATTGAATGGAGACACAAATTATTTAGCAAAATGTTTTGCTTATATCTTTATTTTTATATTAATTACTGATATTGAGTTATGCAAAATTTTCCTATTATAATGTTTCATTTATGATGAATGTTTAATTACCGATGTTGTTGAGAAGTGTAACTTAAAGAAAGCGAAATTATCTTTATGTTCTCGTTTTATAACTATCAAATTTAACTTTGATCTTATAATATAGATGATAATAGGGTCGTTTTAACCACAATTGACGCCAGGGTGCGTCAATCAAGTAGCACTAGGCGTCTATTGTCCGTCGCTCCCAGAGTCCGTTGTCTATGCGTTTTCTACGGTCGGGTCTAGACCAGACCACGAATCAAATAAAACTTATTACCCAGCACTGATTGAGCCTAATATCTATGAAGTATATACTCGTCGTAAAAAGCTGAATATTGCGACGTGGTGTAACTAGTGACATGAACATTCATGCAGTCAGAATGTAGTGTAGGAAACCAACGAACAACGACCTCGATGTGTCTCTTACAGGGCTAGATATCTTTATCCTACTTTTAATAAATTCAAGGTCATTATCGACTTGCCTTTGTCCCTAACGCATTTATATCTGAATTCTCTTCCAAAAAAAAATCAAGTTAAAAACACAAAACGTGGACAAAGAACAAACCGTTGCGTGACAAATTAGTTATTATAAGAAATCGTTTTCATTGATTTTTATCTCATAAAAATTCAAAGCGTGATAAATGTTATGGCTCTAAACTACTTTTCTATAGTTATATTAATCGTAATAAAATTATATTCGGGTAAAAAACAGCGTTCCAGATGCAAAATGTATATTTTCATTCTATACCTTGAAAGTGAAATAACAATGTTTACGGATGATTAACTCACGGTAAGAACAGTTTCGAAAACATAATCTATTAGGGCATACATATTTATTATCTATAGTTATACGAATTGTATATTATTTTATTTATATGAAAGTACTGTGCTGTGTAAAAAATTTAGTTATGTAGAATTGAACTAGGGACATTCCAATCGTACATCGAATTCCATATAACTATTACGAGGTCTTTAACCTACATTTCATAATCTCAAATGATAACGATAATATATTTGTATAAGTTAACTAATAGAAGATAAAATCATTTTTAATTATATAGCTTTAACAAAGGTGTACACAGTGTAATGTGAATTACAAGATTTCCAGTGTTATAACTCAAGCCACTTTTCTTGTGTGCTTCCCGACGATTGAACTAATGGGTATTTTTTCCCATTGGGGCAATTGAATCCATACAATTAATCTATCCAGTGGTAAAAATACCCAATGGATCGATCGGCCCAACGGGATACGCTTCTTTCTTTTACAATTAATACCAAATAACCTTTTCCTAAGTAAAATTGCTGCCAAAGCATCGATAATTATTCTGATTACTAGCTTTCGCCCGCGACTCCATTCGCGTGGAATTAGAAAAAACAAAAGTGAATGGCCTATGTCTTCTTCCAGACTATCCTTTAAATTCGTACCAAACTGCTTCGAAATCCGTTAAGCCGTTTAGGCTACAAACTCTACAAACATCTCTCAACTCTCAATTCAACTCAACTCTCAACTCAACTCAATCTCAACTCTCAACAAACATCCATCCATCTATCGTTCGCCTTTATAATATTAGTACGGAGTTAGGGCTTCTTTGTAATCATTCAGTAAATTTGCATGTTTTACTTACATAAAATTCACAATTACAAGTTTAGTAAGCCACGGTACAGTAGTGTTTATAAAACGAACGACATATGCGGATGACTCGTGTTATAGCAATAATATTATTGAATGCACCCAACAACATTTACTACCGTCTTTATGTATACTTGAGGTTCCCAAACTATTTTACGTAGACCCCTTAGATTAGTTAAACCCCTTGTGAAACCTTATTTTTATGTCCCGCAATCCTTTGCCGCTGATTCTTTCGTAAACCTTGTAGAGGGTTCAGCAATACTTTGGAAATCACTGTAAACATTTTGTAATGTACAGTCAGCTCCACAAATATGTACACATTTACAAAATTGTATAAACTTGTATAGGCATTTATCATCTAAGATATGTATGTACTTATCCGTCATTATCATGTATGGTAAGAGGTAGACACGCACATACGTTTTATTAAAGTCTTAATTGTATTTGGTACAATCAGGTGTATAAATGTGTACATATTGTTTCAGTTGACTGTACCAGCGTATTTATAAATATAAAAGACAGTTTTTTACGATAACTCGTTGTGTAACTGATTATTTGTTATCTTGATAGGTAAAATACTTGACCTCATTATTTACTTGTAATTACTTTTTAAACAAAGGATGTAAAAATATAGATTTGTATAAATATCTGTTTATCCACAGAGAATAGGCATAGTAATAGTTTTGATATATGCATTTTTAACAAATAACATAATTGTAACTAGCGATATAAATTTAAGCACTCAACTAGAGATCCCGCCTGGATCGCGCGCGAATATTCAATACGTCTAATGACATTGACAGCTGTCAGAGATTTGACGTTTATGCCAAGGATCTAGTGTTGCGCCAATTATACAGCTCGGTACTACTTTATAACAGTACGAGCTGTTGCCCGCGACTTCGTCCGCGTGGTATTAGAAAACATACAAACTATATAAATTACAAAAAGTTACGTATCTCTCGAGAACCGGACATTTCTCGGGGATGAAGCTTATCCCATGTGTACTCCAGACTTTGTTTTATATCTGTGCCAAATTTCAATAAGATATGTTGAACCGTTGCAGAATGATCGAGTAAACATTAAAAAACTAAATTAATGAATCCCACGGGAACCGTAACTATTCCCGGGATATAAAGTAGCCTATGTATTCTTCCAGACTATGCTCTAAACCTGTGCCAATTTTCATAGAGATCCGTTCAGCCGTTTAGGCTACAAACGCTAACAAACATCCATCCATCCATCTAAACTTTCGCATTTATAATATTAAGAAGTAAGATTTAAACAGTGCAAATCCTAAACTTAAAAACTTTCTAAGTACTATCAGGGAAGTTTGGAGTTAAAATGTTAAAAGAAAAAAAAAGTTATATAAACATAAGTTTATTCAACACTACAAAGAAAAGTCTTCTTTAAAATCGTAATCATCAGTTTTCTTATAAGTAGTGAGTGTAACATTTTCTAATACATTTGCTAAATTCACTGCCTGTTTTTCAACTTTCTTTTGCTTCTTTTTATCTTTTTTGAACTGCATCTTTCTTAATTTATTTTGTTTAGTGTTGCCCTCTATTTGCATTTCTGGGTTCTTTTTTTCTTTGCCCTTATTCTTACCTGATTTTTCTAATTTCGATCGGATTGTTACTTTTTTAGGTAATAACGCGGACTCGTCTTCGTCGACTTGCATTTCGTTTTCTAACGCCGCTTTGACAGGTCCTGTACTTGTAATCTATAATTTTGTGTAGAAATATTAGTATACATAAAGAAAGACATATTAGTTTTTGCTCGCTATTTCGTCTAAAGTAAATATTGACTATTATAGACATTTATATAGACAACATCCATTCAAACTTTTATTCTTGCTTCCTTGATGTTGGCAGCAACTTATGGTCTCTTTCCTACATTAGGGTTTTTATCGAAAATATTTAGCCCCTAAGTTCTATGGCGTGAAAATATATGCCTAAAGCCTGGCGTAAGTGTAGGGTTTTTTATTAAAAAAAGAGTTATTCGAAAATATGTTGTGATTGCTGACATCTTAGGCAACAAAGAAGTGTGTATTTACGCTTTATTATAATAGTATAGATAGTTATATTAAAATCAATACCTTAATGGCTTCAACATCTTTGGCGTCCTGTAGAGCGTCTATAGCCTCAGTTTCCATCGCCTCGAACGAATTTATATCAAACTCCTTGTCTATAGTCGATACAATTTTAGCATCAACATGAATATTAGTTTCCTCTTCCGGTGGCTCCGTGAAATAACGCACCTAAAGAAAAATATTATTATTGTAAATTATTTTTTTTACGTTCATATGAAATTAATGGACACCTACAGTTTCCCCGATAGTACATACAGTTATTTGGGAAGCAAGAGATCGAATTTTAACATTGAAAATTAACAATAAATTATAAATACATAATCATTGACAAGTTTAAACACTTACCTTTCCAGTATTCCAGTCATTGAGCAATATCCTGGCTGCCGCCTCTTGGTCAGGCACCCCGCCCTTCTTGTACCGCCCCATTCGAGAAGCTAAACTCGCAAAGAACTCCTAAATATGAAAATACATTTAATTTAAATAATTGAAATATTAATCGTAAAAAAATGTATCCCAAAATACAAGATAATACATGGTTCACACTTGGCCAGTACAGTAGAGGAGACTTAACATGGATTGAGGATTCATTGGCGCCAGTTGGTGTTCATATTATGCCAGATGAATGCCAGTCCATTTATTGCTACTATCCAACTGTACTGGCAAAGTACACCAAGCATAAGTTGTGATATTTTATTATTCAAAGTATTTTATTATAGAAAAGTTTACTAATTAAAAAAAGAACAAATATGTTCCATTCAAAAAAAGTCACACGATATTTAACTGTCAAGAACATTTTTAAGTAAAATAAACAATGAAATATTTTCACCAAAACTATATTATAACACACATTAAAGTAGCTGGTACACTTGCATGCCAGGTACTGGTACATGCCAAGTAAGTTGAGGATGGGGTCAAAGTTACAAAACTTGACTGCCACGTCTTATACAATTAACATTTCACTGGTATTAATGTCATGCCAGTACTGGTACAAGTTACACTGGCATGTTTTACAATCCGTACCTGTGGAGTATTAAACGGTGGTACACAATACAAATCAATAAGCGTTTGTTTGTGAGCTCTCAGTAATATGGCATTTGCGGGTGTCACAGGGTCCTTCAGGCTGCCCACTCGGATGGCATTCTTTAGTGCTACGGACGCATCATTATCCGACCCTGTATGGAACACTATTCCAGGACTGTCTAAAATCTTTATCTTCGAGTCTAACTGTACTGTTTGCATTTGCCTGGAAAAGACATAAAAGACACTGAAACTTCACTGCTGCAAATTTTCAATGTTAAATCTAAACAAAGTGAAAATATTGTTAATTAAATCAGACCAACTTGTAATAATCTATAAATAAAAGTATTGTAAAGTGGAAGATTGTAATTTTTGTATGTATGAATACTCAAAAACTACTGGATGATTATAAAATATTTTGCCATCAAAAAGCATCATTATCACTGAATAACAAAGATAGTCTATTACCAGATTTTTTAAAATTCTAAATGGTTTAATTCGCAAGCAAAAGCTGTTTATTTTAGAAAAATATTAAGCAATAAATATAAAACTTTAACCAATATTAATATTGTAAAACTTCTAAATATTTGATTTGTTCCTAGAACAATAAAAAGTAAAAACTTACTTAGTTACACCCGGAGTGCTGCCAACATTACAAGCTTTGGATCTATTCAAGCTGTTGATAATGGAGCTCTTGCCAACATTAGGAAGTCCGACCACACCGACTGTTATTGACGTCTTGATACCTTTGTTACGACAGTAGTTGCCTAAAAGACTCATTAGGAGTTCTGCACCAACACATGCTGAACCTATAAGATAACAAAATTTTAATTAAATTCTCTTATTTTCCTATGTCCCCAAAGTGGGGTAGAGGGCGTCCACAGTACGCCGCCAGCTCGCTCTGTCCTGGGCTCTGTGTTGTGTCTCGGACCATGACAGCCCGATTGCATAGTTAACTTGCATTATCTTAAAACAGTGGGGACTAAAGACTCTTAAAAGAATTTAACTGATACAATTTAAGTATAGCAAATTATTTAATACTAAATAAAAAACAAAATTTCATGTTCAGATAAAACGAGGCTGCAACTTTAACAGATGTAACTCAGTTTACAACCCGTCGTCCCTAAAATGGTGGCGCCGTAGAAACCCTATGCTAGCAGCGCTAGAAACAATACTAGGAATATGTAGAGATAGGTCTTACTAATATTATAAATGCGAATGTTTAAATGTATGGATGTTTGTTAGAGTTTGTAGCCTAAACGTGTTAACGAATTACAATGAAATTTGGTATAGAAGTAGAGGATATTCTGGAAGAACACATATGCTACTCCCTTTTGCTTTTTTTATTTCACGCGGACGGAATCGCGGCCGAAATCTAGTAATAACATAAAAATTAATGAATAAAGTATGTTTACCTTTCATTTCTTTTTCTTTAACAATATGTTTCATTTTCCTTCTACCTAAGTTATGTTGCTGATCCTGTGTGGATGCTTTGAATGGTACAGCTGGAGCAAATCTCCTCAAGTACTTGAGCCAGGCAGTAAGGTTACCACGGGGGACTAAATCTGACTTGTTCATTACTAACACTAGGCGTTTGCCTGACTCACGGACAGCTTCTTCTACTTGTACACATCTGGTACCTGTAAGTTTTTTTATAAATAATAGCAAAATTATGTTAGCTAATGTTTCTTGCACCATACTAAGCTGTAGGCTTTTTCTAGTAATAGTTTACAATAGTCAACTGTCAGGATAGGAACCCTTGAACATGTGATCAGAGATATGTTAGTTATATTTTTGTAATTTTTTATGTTTTCTGTTAATTGGTAGAATTTGCTTAATAATAATAAACTACCTTGCTCAATTTCCAACATTTTTATGTTCTGGTTATAATTGAAAATTACCAGTTACATTTATGTTATTTTAACTGGTTTAAACTTCAATATATCTTATAACTATACTCTCACATTAATTGTTAAAATGTGATTTGAACCCATATTTAAAAGACCAAAAGTCAATTTATAATATGACCAAGAAGATAAATAATTTACCTAATGGATCTCTGGCATCAACAACTTCCAAAATTACTTCAGCTTCGGAAATAACCTTCTTAAACTCTCTATAGTAAGTCTTTAACGAGTTCTCCTGCTGTCTGTCTTTGCCAAATTCAACACCATCATTTGCATCACCTTTGAATGCATCATGAACTTTCCCTCTTGCCTGTGCATTAGCTACCTGAAAAATTACAAAATTGTATGATAATGATGTTTTTAATGTATTCTTAGTAAATGCAGAAGTCAAGATTACAGTATGTTACAGAAGAGGCAAAGTAAGTAGATTATAGTGCAGTTATTCTATGTCCATGGACATTCACAATGCCAAGAGAATCACAGATTTGCTGACCTAAAACAGTGGAGTGTGCTGCTTTTCTGAAAGCCCATAAGTCGAAACTGCTGACAAAGTGTTCAATAATATGCGGCTGTAGGAGGAATTAGTTACATAAAAACCTTATTGTAGAATGCCAACTAACAAGATAACACAGTTTTGATATATAAAAGATTTTATGATGTCAAATTTTAATTATTCTTTACATACCAAAGTATTCATAGCAACAGGATTCTTTTTCTTTTCTTCCATCTTCTTTTGTTTTTCTAACTTAGCCAATTCCTTCCTTTTCTGTCTCTCTTCTTCTTTGTGCTTCTTAACAGCTTCAACTTCTTTTAAAATATCCTCTTTGAAAGGACATTCATTTGGTATTTGAATAGGCTTGTTTTTTTTAGACTTCGGGTTCTTTTTTGCTTCTTTTTTTAGTTTCCTATTGTGATCTCGTACTTTCTTCTCTATTTTATACCTCAAACGTGCTGGTTGCCTCTTCGACGGTTTTTCTGTAATAGTGTGAGTAATTGTTTTAATTAATATTATACTTTGAAACAGGGTTAGAGCAGAAAATGTGCAAAATCCTTGTTTGGATTACGATAAAAGAGTGTTCAATAACATAGTCATATCATACACAATATTAAGAGTAAAACTGATATATTAAGTAAAAGTTTAAATTAAAAAGTTGAGTAATTTAAATTCCTACTACTATAAAACATGAAAACAGTTTTACTATAAGGAAAAAATTAACTTACTTAGTTTAAATTTCGCCATATCTATTAAGTAGATAACTTAAAATACGAACTTATTAAATTATAACTTAAAAATAATGATTTAAAACATAACCAAACTTATCACGTCGGTTTATTTTGACAGTTCTTTACAATTTGACAGTTCGTTTTATCTACATGTGCTTTTAGTATTATTGCCAGCTGCAAAATATTAACGATATTGTGGCATTTCAACTTATTTTTTTTAAGAATTATTATAATATAACAATATTTATTAGCATGGTGTTTTTATTGATTTTAGTATATCTTTCTAAATGTTATTTTTATTTCGTTGCATTTACATTAACCTAGGCCGGATTCCGCTTATGTAGTTGTGACTTGTCTAGTACCTTTTAAAAGTTAAATATCTGCGTCCATGAATATCCTCGGATACATAAGTAATTAACCATGTTAGTTAACGACAAAAAGTCCCAATAAACTCTAACAACACAGACAAAAATTCGTACACATGTTGGTGGCAATACCTTTATTGCATCTGGTTTCGAATTGACCAACGGCGTAATATGTAACTACAGGCATGCTTTCGCACACTGAGCACTTGGCGCTCTTGAAATGTACATTCATACTTTAATTAAATGAATCGTGTTTATCATATAGATATTTTTTACACAAAGTTAACCTAATTTATATTTTATTTGAACATAATAAATACATTGTAAAATTTATATAAACAGAAAAGTAAAATGTATTAATGCGAAGCTGCAGGCTCGTTGGCTTACTTGCAAATTTTTCAGTTACCTTCCATACTAGTAGGAAACTCGTACGGCAGGAAGTACATAATAAAAAAATGTGTGTTGAAAGTGAAAATTCATGAATTTATGTGTTTTTAAAATTTATTATGTTAATTACTGTTTACTTTGCTTATGTCAGTTAATACAGTACTATCCACATAATAGTAATATTCCGTGAATAGTACTGTAGTATAACTAAAACGCAGTCTGAATAAGAAGCCAGTATAAAATAATTTAATAAATCATTCACTACCCGTCGTATAATAAATATTTCGTAGATGTGGTGTCAGTATACCGTGATAGGTAAACAAAACACGTCGCAGTTCATTCATATCGTTTGTGTTTCGTTGAATGAGTCGCGCAAGTTAGCGCACTGCGAAGCTATGCGACGAGCACGCTTTGTTTCCCGGCCGGGCAGCTGCGCTCCAACACTGAGACTTGTACCTGGGCAGGTAACAGAAGCAACAGGTCATTTCTATATGCGAGGGGAGCAGCCGGCACGAACCCGATTCCAATGCGACTCTATTCCAACGAGCTCGACCGCGCAACGCTCGCTGCTCGCTCGCTTGTCGCCGTTTGTCAGTTGCGTGCTGAACTCCGGTGTGAGCGTACGTTGTACGACGTCAAGTCGCGTTATCGTTACTCGGAGACTTTCACGCGCCAGATTGTATTTTGACGACGAGTGATGTGCGCGAACGCAACACTGGACGACTTTATTCAAGATCAAAGTTTGTGACGGTGCAAATGTCTCCTAGTTTAGAGGGTATCATGTTTAACAGGAACGCGAGCGCGAACCTGTCGGCACGGCGGCCGTTGCTCGCCGAACCGCAAAAGCCAGTAGTGGTGCCTCCGCGCGCGCCACCGCGAGACTTCGGCACGCACAGACCTCTGCCCGCGCCCCGGAATCTGCCGACGGACTACTATGAATACCGTCCGGATTACTGGAAACCTTCGAACGTCGAACTCGAGAAACGATTACAAGAAGCTAGAGCGCGAGAGAAGGTCGGTTACTTTCAGGACAAAGTAACACCGCCCGATCTGAGCTTGGATCGTAGGGAAGCGGAACTCGTCTTTAGATTCGATCCTCACGCGTCGGCCGAGTACCTATCGAGTCAGTACCGTGCCCCGACCGTGCATTATGCTAAGCCACCGACGCCGGTGAACGGGTTCGCTAACCGTTTGCCGGAGAGAGATGGCCCTTTTGTGTTCGGTGTACACAGCCCTAGCCAATTTCCGATTCCGCGGCGAGACGAAGATGACTACGATTATTCGGAGGTGGCTGAAGAAAACGGTCATACCGTGATACAGGACGATGTGTCCGAAGACATGAATTGCTGTGATAAAGTAAACGATTGGGCAGTGCGCGACAAAAAGAGCAGGAGGACTTTGAATCGAATGTTTCAGATAAAAGATAGACGTAAAGTGAAATGTGGAAAGAAGGAGAAGATAAAGTGTGTGTTGGTCGGTGACGGAGCGGTGGGAAAGAGTTCGTTAATTGCAGCCTATGCCCAGGACACATTTCGGGAGGATTACCAGCCCACTGCTTACGACACATTTAACGGTGAGTTTAATTCAAATGTTCTTTGTATATAAAAGTTGCGGGCCTATACACATTCGGGTATCTTTTGTTCGACTTCTCCGTTCTACGAAGAAACGATAATGTGTTTTTGGTTCAACTGCAACGAGTTATCGCTAATGGCCCTGATTTGTCGCGATATTAAAGTGATTAGTTAAAAAGAATTTTGGCGTTGTTGATGATAACATTCATTAGTAAAGACCGATCTTTATCAGCTGGCGCCAACACAAATATTCAAAGATAAACAATCCAACAAGTAACAATAGAGTAAAGGACAAGTAATTATGTCATAGGTAGGTAATGACCTGTTTGAAGAAACAATCCTTACTACTATTATTCTAACAAAGGGTTCTGGTTTTTGTCCTTAAAATGGGTTACAGAAACAAAAGCACTTCTTTTCTTTTAAGTTGTCTCATTGTAACTACAAAATCTACACCAAACGACACTTTAGTAAACATTAAGCGACTCTGAGTGCGGCTACGATGAGATAACACTTTTCTAACATGCATGCATAGACTATGGCAAACATAAATTAGACGCGAAGGTATAGCATTGGAGTCATCGACTTGCTCGGACATTTGCAGCCTTATCAACGAGAGAAACTTGTTTTAAAACGTACGCAACAATAACTCCGACCGTTTCTTATTTAAAATTCTTTATACGCTTTCACGTTTCGATTTATAATGTCCACAGAAAGGTTACATATTTATTGGAACTGTAACAGTATTTGTACAATCTCTGGAGAAAGTATTGTTTGACAAATGGCGCCAGATTTAAATACATACAGAGTTTTGTCTTATCAAATATTATTTTATTACTTTAATGTAAAGCAAATATTTTTTGTTAAATACAGCAGCCGAATTAACGGTGCACTGTTCTCGAATTCAGTCAATATTAAAATACGACGTCACTGATTTTAGGACCGAAGAAACTTCTTTTGTAAGAGATAAATATTGATATCTGGTTTTCCGTATCTACGAGTATATCTGAATAATCCTGTCAATCTTCTTTTTTAAACTAACCAATAAATACTAATATTATAAATGCGAAAATTTAGATGGATGTTTGTTAGAGTTTGTATCTTAAACGGCTGAACGGATTTCGATGAAATTTGGTATAGATGTAGAGGAAAGTCTGGGAGAATATATAGGCTACTCATTTTTTTTTTCATGCGGATGGAGTCTCAGGCGAAAGCTTGCATAATATATAAATTTAAACAAAACTACAGAATGATTTCGATTCTATCCATTCTATCCATTGTTGCAAATTTTAAAATTATCTTTCAAATCTAAATGTAATACTCTCACATTTGTCATTGAAGTTAAGATATCGCTTTGAAGTCGGACCACGATCTCGATAACATGATAAACAAAACTCTCATACATTTGTTATTTATTCATCAAGATAGAATTTTATTCGCAATAAACCATACTACATCTTGTTATGGTACAAAATTGTACTTATAAAGTCGACTTTCATTAAAATTTCAAACAAAAGAATATTAATTTATTTAAATTGCCTATACTCATTTGTCAATGAACATATGAATACAAATAAATGATATACATCAACTTTCATTTCCAGATAATTTATAGAAATACTATACGTATTCAACTCACGTCCAAAGTAGAATCGACCGTGGAATAATATTTTGTTTCTAGTAAAAAAAGTCTCTCCGAGCCCTACATACCCACACGTAGACATGAGGTCAAAGCTCCTCGTTAATATGGACCTGATATCTCCCAACCAATTAATGTTACTGACTCTCAGATTTGAATAAAGTAAACTTTACTATGGGATTCCACTCTCCGAGAACTAATGTAGGATTGTATTGACATCTCTCTCATAGACCCCCTTTAACATCTTCGCACTGCAGAATCGGCTCGCCCCCAGCAATACCATGACCACACAGAAAATAGGCGTAAAGTAGGAGCAATTCCGTGGTGTCAGAAGCCCAACTATATAGTCCCTTTTCCTTCCCACCTTTTTCGTATAAGAAATGGATAGGAAGGAAAAGTGGATTTGACGCTGATGGAGACGCATAGGAAGGGGAAATAATTCATCTGAAACAATGCATTGAATAAAATTTTGTAAACATTTAAGGGCATTTACTTGTAAATTTCAGAATAAAGGTGTAAGCTTGTTTACCACTCCTTTCACAAGTTTGATATTTGTACGTACGTTAGTTAATAATGTTATCTCGTAGTCGTAAAACCTCTAAGTGCCAGCACTACAGTAAAAAATCCTACAAAAGCTTCCATTGTTTGGATTCGTTGGTAAATAGAGAAACCCCCGACGGCGAAATCCTTTTAACGGTGTCCATTTGTGAAGCCACAGGTAATGCAGTTGCAGTTAATATGTACTCAGTATAGTACAAACGGATCCTTATTTACTCACGTTTTCTATGTTTATAGCGTTGTTTCGTGATGTCTGGTTAGCTAGGTTTGTTTTTGTTCTTAGTCCTTGTTAGGCTCGTCTTGTAAACATGTCTATTATGTATTGACCACTGTTATGTTATTTTATGTATAAAATTTAATCAGTTTACACGTAGTGGAAACGGGGCTTTAGATTCTTAATCTGTCAAAAGCCTCACAACCACAGACATAATACACAGAATCGATGTAATAACTCCCTGATCATTTCCTAGACTTGAACGTACAACGTTGCATTGAGACGTGAAAGTACGGACACAATGTACTTTCGCCGCTATTCGTCGTTCGTTCTCATGCAAATCGCGCGGTAATTTATGCTTCCTCAGCATAAGTTTTGTTGAATACTCGCCTTGAAACAATCGCGGTACGTGACGTTCTTGTAATAGACGAATAGGAAACTCAATTATGACCTTTGCGACACGTGACTATTAGGCCTAAATAACACGGATGAATTGAATTTGTACCATTTATTTCTCACTAGCTTTCGTCAACGACTTCGTCCGCGTGGAATTAAGAAAATGAAAGCGAGTAGCCTATGTGTTCTTCCTGACTATCCTCTACATCTATACCAAATTTCATCGAAATCCATTTAGCCGTTTAGGCTACAAACTCTAACTACCATCCATCCATCCATCTAAACTTTTATATTAGTATGATGGTTTTCGACAAATATAATTTAATTATACGTTTTGTAAAAGTAAGGATTTCATTTTCGAGGGATAAAGAACATTTGCACAATGCGATAAGCAATTATTACTAAACGATAAACATAATAATATATAATTTTTATATAATAAATGAAAATATAAAATTATCTTTCATCATATCTTTAGTAATCCGTTTTTAATCTAGGTTTTCCTTTAAAACTGGATTAGTTTAGTCTTTCACGTTATTATTATTTTGTCTTGTCTTTATTTCCTTTATAAAATCGATTAACTAAACATCAGAAACTACGCACTAAGCACTTTATAATCTGTAAACTGGCAACACAGAATATACGAATGTCAAAAAAACGTAATTAGCCGTTCGGATACATTTAATAGCAACAAATCTATAGTTGCGTGTCCTCCATACTCCAAATATTACGACATGAATGGTAAACTAAAACGTGATTCGAGCATGTGCTTGTGTGCAAATGAACTTGCACAATATACAAGTGGCAGTAAAAAATACAAGAAAAAAATCTTTTTAAAATATAATACGGTTGCAACACGTAACGTCCTATATTCGGCCAGTATGAATAGGGTTGTCGGATATCACGTATTCATATGGCTTACTCCAACCACAACTTTTTCGCGAAAAATATGATTGATATATAGAAATATGTATGAATGTTTTGATGGAAATTAAATGCTGAAATGTCAAATGTAAATTGGTCTCGATAAATATCTTTGTGAAGACCTGAGAAAAATAGTTGAATTTGACTTCTTTTGCTTATTTGTTTCAGCATTTTTATATTATAGTATTTTGCAGGTATACGTGTATTTGTGTATGGTGTAATTTTTCTAGCAATGCTTCTTATCTAGAGTAATGTGATGCAATTCACGTTACAAAATTAATCTCGGAAGTGTTCGTAAGTCGTTCCATTAACGCACGTGTTTTATAAATTATTTATATATCCAAATAACGGATGTTCATTCGCAATGGATACGTTGAGTACAACCGTAAATCCGGTAGCGCATTTTAAAACCTAATTGTATTTTGTTTTTATGACAGCTTACAATGTTGCCATAAGATTTCACGCCGAAACACAAATCGAAAACATTACTCATTACTATCTCCTTTTTCGAAGAGAATGAAAGAGCTAACAATATTTGTGTACAGTCAAGTGCATAATTAAAATGATTCAGAAACTTGTATACATTTTCGATTTCAAAAGTAGGTATGTCTGTATCCGTGCGTATACTCCGACCGATTATTGACGAATACGTATTTACGTATTCTTTAGCACAATGCCTATATAAGTTTTCATATTTATGCAGTTGACTGTACACGTGAATTCAACACCTTCATTTTATTTATACTGTGGAAAGAAACGACGTAAAGTTTTATTCGCACATTTGCTTTGTTGTAAAAACTGAAGGACGACAATAAAATAACTTTCAGAATAATGTTCGAGATTACGAAATTATAGACCTTTTTACTTTCAAAAGGTTTTTACAGAAAACGTATTTTTATATATTATGATATATTATTTTTGTAAGATGATGATATTGTATATTTCTAAGAAATGAGGCGAAGTCTTTGTAATTTTAAACTAAGCCAGTTGACAATTATCGTCATGTACACTTTACACTTGTCACACTGTAAATTGACAAGGGTGTATACAGGTATGTCCCATGGGTGTAATTTTTTCATATAAAATAGTGTAGATATTTCTCACATTTGCATTAATTTTAAAGTCACACAAATAAGTCTTTGACGCTTTCACTGATAAGTCCCCTATGACAAAATAGTTTTTAGTATTAAAAAAAAACTAATTAATGCTCGAAATGCAATTAGGAATGCTTCGCTATGCATTTGAAATAAGATAATGATTTCAGATTTCCTTCG